AGGAACGCAAACACTTAAGAGCAATTGAAGAGTATAGCCTGCGTTTGTAGGAGTGAGTATTTTCCTGCGGGTTCTTGCACAGTTTGTGCGGGTTCACATTTTCGTGACTCACACTCCCAGTATTCCTGTTAATGCACATCCATTTCCCCTCAACAGCCCTTGCAAGCAGGGGGAACTCTGAGCAATCAATGGTCATTTTCAAATCAACACTTGCTGCTGTCTACTCTCCAAACCTGTATGCATTTCATTTACTGAATGTAGACAAAGTATTTGAAGCCAGATTTAGAAACGGCGAAGGGTTTGGTAATTGTGTTTCATGTTTTAAGTTATTCTGCTGGAAGCCACAGTGGTGCTGCAAAGGTCCAAATAGATCTTGCCACTGCTGAATGTACATTACAGTGTTTTTCTTATGTATAGTGTCTCTTATTAATATAGCAGATCACATTTGAACAGCCCTGCAGACCTCCCCTCTGATGTGACCATATGTGCTCAAGCATAAATGAATACAAAGAGAAGAGCTGTCGACAGCTTTGCTGGCCAGTAGAGGCTGTTACATGAAGTCCTGGAGTTAAATTAATGGAAGAGGAATCATTTCAAGCTGCTGTCCATTGTCTTGTCACATTTGGGCTTCTACATGTTTGTCCCTTCGCTACCGTGTGATGTATAACTGACATTTTGTATAGGTTAGTGTTGTAGTCACTGCCTTATCACTACAGCTGAAGTCCTCAAACTGCCATTTGTGTGTCTGGACCAAGCAGTCAGTTGTCAGGCTTTAAACAAATTTCAGATTTTAATGCAAACACTAGTACTCTCCCTTCACTTATGTGAATAACAAGCATTCAGTTCCTTGGTTTCCCTCTCATTATTCACTTGTGCTGGTTACTGAAATGACACAATCATCAGTTGTATGTAATATTACAAATCTTTTGTTGGCTCTTCATAAATATTGAGCTTTGTTTTCACAAAACTGTTTTGTGATTATCTTATTGTTTAGGGCACTAAAGCTACTGAAGTTGGCCCAAAGCTTTTTACCCACCGGGATATTTCTGATGCAGAAACACAAATCAGTACTGACTGTAGCAAGTCAATGGCTTAGACATAATGCCATTGAAATAATTGCCGTTTATGTTTGTTAGGCACATGTGGTCTGTGCAGCAGAGAGGGAGAAGGGGGAATGTGAGCTGTGAATATAGACAGAAGGAAAATTGCTCATCTCATCGGGGAGGATTCAGAACTGAGTCTTTTGTATTGTAAGCCAGGCATGGCACCAAAGACGAGTAGGGAGTTCCTGTGGAAGTTAACATGAAATAGTTAATATGAGAATTAAATCAGACACTCCTGCACAACTGTGTGAACTGATATGTATATGGCAATAACACTGGGTTGACCTGTGTTTCAAGGATCTAATATTAAACTGGAGTTTTTTTATTGTTAAACTTATGTCTGATAGGTTCTATCTGACCCAAACCTAGTTCCTGTAAAGATAACCTTTTTCCTCAAAGAATTGGCTTACCTTGTATCCCAAGACATTTCATTTAACTTTCTGTTCCTGTGAGATTCAAGTTCAATTCTCATAGAACCCGTTATTTACCACCTGTGTGTAGCTGGGATAATGTACTTGATAACTTAAGTATTTTTGGTATTTGCTGTAATGTAAAATATTGAACGTTTCAAACATCACAGTCGTATTTAGATGGCTGAGAGCAACAGCCACCAAAGAAAAACACTCCAAGAAAAGATTAATCAGAAACTTCCATATTATATTTTGTGACACTTAGATTTTGATGTTTTATGTTAACTTTTTTTTTTTATTTAAAATGGGTGGTACTGTGTAATTGCTGGATGCAGATTGGTTATGTATGTCGTTACACCCACAGCACTAAAGAAACATCTTCCTTTGATGTGTAAAGGGCGGTGCACTCAGTGTAGACACTACACTACATTTGAAGTAATGCAATATGAACCACAGTCTGCCACCTGTCATCTCTAAAAAGTGTATTTATTTCTATGATTGTTTGCTGTACTTTAGATGATCGTATGTATACTGACAGAAGGATGGTTGAAACTATAGTGTGTATTGCCTGTGAAGGGGGACTATTTGACAGATTCACTTTTTATATTTCCTGTTTAGATTGTGATATGATATATTCTCTCCATGACAATTCATGGGTCGCCCATGCTTTTTCTACATGAATGTTTCAGATGGCTCATGAGCCGCCTTGCTGGTTGTTCTATGCTTCAATTACTATATTTTTACTGTGTATGAATTGTGCATATGTACATAGGAGTCACAGAAATGCCTTCTCATGCAATATGTGCTGCCTGTTCCTCCTACCATATTTCAGTTATGTGGTGGTGATGTTTTCATGTTTGATTTTAAAGGATTAAACATATTTTTTAAATCTTGGCTTGTGTCCCTGTTTCTTATTACCTGTCTAGATTTGTGAATAGTGTTTTAAAAAGTATACCATAGTGTAATTGTTTGAAGAGATTTTAATAATCTCTAGAGGACATGCATCTGATACAGTGACTGCTATGACAAATGCAGCAACTAGGGTTTAACTCACTGTTTACTACCTTGTTAAATTATTTGTCTTCATCCATCAGTCTGCTTGTGACTGTTTACTCCAAAAACTTCATTTAAATGCATTACTCAGGTTAAGTGTCTGCCACATGCGGACTAATTGATTTGCTTAAAAAAATGTTTGCCTGATCTTGATCCTTTGAGTGGATTGCTGGTCAGACCCACAGCTGAGTCAACCTGTTGTCATAGTGCAAGGTGGCACCTGTTAGGTGAATCCCATGTCCTCTAGTTTCATCCACATTTCCCTCCACTTGCATCTTTTCCACGTGTCACCTAAGATACAAGGAGAAACTACAAGGAAAGGAATCAAGGAAACACATTTTAACTGACATGAAACAACCTTACCTCAGAGCACCAATAAGAGCTTTGGGATGTCCTTCATTATAGTGAACTCAAACAACCTCTGGGTCCATTGCAGTCCAAGGAATGATAAATGAATGGGTTTCACCCATTGAGTGCCAAGGATTTGGAGGAAATGAAAGCATCAGGAAGTCAGTGGACACTTCCTGAACACCAGGTAGTCCTGATTACATCCTTTGAATTAAGAGCACATTGCTGTGTGACAAAGAGAAAAGCCTGAACAGATGTACTAGCTCTGGAAGTACAGTAGGTCTATCATACTATATTATCAGTGTCTGCTTTATCTTTTCTTGTTACAATTTCCACACACCTGAGAGGAAAAATAGGTGCCCATTTTTCACCTTTATCCTTAGCCTTTGGAGAATGTGCATGCCACTGATTCAAAACATATAAGACAATTTGATAAGCTAAAGTTGTATGCACTATTTTGGTTTTATGAAGTACTTAGTAGGATGTGCAAACATTTGCATATGTCACAATTACTGTTTAATATTTCATGTTTTTGAAATAAAAGTAGCCGTGCAGTAAAAATTTAAGAAAGGCTAATTTTCAAAGGCCTGCTTGTTATAAGTGCTGTATTCACTTCTTTTCACTTAAAAACACACACAAAAAGAAACAAAATATAGGCTGTAATTTGCCCATAGAGATTATAAAATGTCATTGAAGTCTTTATACCTTTTGGAGCTAATTGTCCCCCACAGTTATTCATATATTACAAATATTAATAGTCATAACATCGTATGAAACTCAGTGTCTTTTTTCCTCCACATTATCTTTCATACATTACCCACAAACCATCACGATGACGTAGCAAACTGCAGACATCAAGATGGTGCTTGAAAGTACTATGGTCTGGTAAGGAGTTAGAAGTAAAAATGTAAAATACCAGCTTTATTCAAAATAGACTGTCACTTGATAAATTCAATACGTGTGTTTTTCATGCCGTCTGTCCGAAAACCATTTGTTCATGTTAAAAAAAAAAAGTATTTAGGTTACTAGAGCTATTCCGGACTCGAGAAACCTAACGTTGGCTAACGTTAGCTAGAAGGAGCTTTCAGCAGAGAGTTAACCAACATCTTTTTAGCCAGGTTACATAAGTTTAACAAGTTCTGTGTCTGCTAACGTTAACGCAAAACAGCGTAGTTTGTGGGAGCCAGCAGATTTAGTCTCACGTTGAATACACGTTGAATTAAGCCATTAATTGGCTTTGTTTAGCACGTTAGCATTAGCTAGCTAAAATAATCTCATTACTCATTGTCAAAACACAGCTGTTGCCTTTATTTGACATAAGTTAATAAATCAAGCTGAGATTTTACTCAGCTATTACAAGTAGACTCCGTCTTTCTGATACAAATAGAGAGACTACACAACAAGAAAAGTTTGTTTTGTTAAGTAATATGTGGATTTTATAAGGTACCAGTGTACTGCTGGAATATTGTTTTGTGTATTCATTATATTAGTTTGGGCAACGTCGATTTTTTTTTTATTACAGTTTAATCCATTGGTCTTGTTTTCACTAATGGTTTTATCAATTGAATAGCATAAAATAGCGAAAAATTGTCATTACAGTTTCACAAAGCTCAAAGTTACTCATTCATTGTTTGTTTTGTCCAACCACCAGTCCAAGACCGTGAAATATAAATTCACAACAATGTCAAACAACATAAATCTGCAAATCTTTGCTTCTGAGGGGGTGAAATCACTAAATGTTTGGTACTTCTGCTTCTTAAATGAATTCAGCAATTCATCATTTATCAGTACCCTGTCAACTGACCATTTGTTGCAGTGTCTACTTTCTTTAGGCTATGTGTCACTGTTTTCTCATCAGTTGCACATATCGTTATGGATATTGGCCCAACAACCAATATTTGTCCAGTCTATATAAATTATATTTTTTGTTCATTTTCTGTAGTGTGGACAATAGCGAGTACATGCGAAATGGGGACTTTGTGCCTACCAGGCTACAGGCTCAGCAGGATGCAGTTAATATTGTTTGTCACTCCAAGACCCGCAGCAACCCTGAAAACAATGTGGGCCTCATCACCATGGCAAAGTAAGAGGCAGTGATTTTGAATTAGTGTACTGACATTTAAAATATGATAATCTATTAACACAAGTGTCATGTCTCTGTGCAGCAACTGTGAGGTGCTGACCACACTGACTCCAGACACGGGGAGGATACTGTCAAAGCTGCATGCTGTGCAGCCTCGTGGAAACATCAGCTTCTGCACTGGCATCAGGGTGGCACATGTGAGTTAGTTTTTTCTGTATACACAGTGTAATATAAAGTACAATATTTTCTTGCTCCTGCAGGAGACCAATATAGGGGCTTGAAAACAGCTGAGATTTGTGAACTGAATTTTAGGAACATTACAACATGTGGAGAAATCAGTTCAAGTTACTACTCTAAATATAAATAGGCTTGTATCTAAAACACGAAGAAACCTTAAATTGGGCACCTGCCATTTGTTATCTTGTGAATTTACACTTGTGGTTTTCCTTCAATGTCTGTGGTGGAAAAAGATCTATTGTCTTATTTGTCATGCATTTGGTCACTTCATATGGTCTTCATTTGCTCTTTCTGTCTGTAGTTGGCACTGAAGCACAGACAGGGCAAAAACCACAAGATGCGCATCATTGCATTTGTTGGCAGCCCAGTGGAGGACAACGAAAAAGAAGTGAGCTACATTCTAACATAAATCATTGTGTTTGCATGTCATTAGTTGTCATGTAATCATGGAGGAGACTTTTAACAATAACAGACTATAAAGATAATCTATGATAAATACATTGTATGATAAATAGTGTGCTTTGAGAATTGCTGTGTATAGAAAGTGACTATAGTAACGCATTAATCTTCACACTATTCTTCAAGTCTTGAATATGGACTAACACAGTAAAAAAGATTTTCCAGGTTTACTGAGTGCTTCCTTCATGAACACTCTTCATCAAACAGGCATTTGTTCATCTGCATAACATCAGTGTACTAATATTATATGTCTGACCAGGCCTCCAATAAATGTAGTGTTTGGGGCAGAACTGAAGTATGTCTATTTTCTTGTAGCTGGTCAAAATGGCAAAACGTCTGAAGAAAGAAAAAGTCAATGTGGATGTCATTAACTTTGGAGAGGAGGTATTTTTTCATCAAAGCTCCACTCTCCCTCAGCTTCTTGAAAATCTAATGTGCTATTGTTTATATTGTTTTATTTATTTACACTGTTGTCCATGTGCTTACCAATACTCATTCTTTCCCATCCCTGCAGGAGATGAACACAGAGAAGCTGACAGCCTTCATCAACACACTGAATGGCAAAGAGGGAGCAGGCTCTCACCTGGTCACGGTGCCGCCTGGCCCTAGTCTTGCTGATGCCCTGCTGTCCTCACCCATCCTGGCTGGAGAGGGAGGTGCAGTGTTGGGCCTGGGTGCCAGTGACTTTGAGTTTGGAGTGGATCCTAGTGCAGACCCAGAGCTGGCCTTGGTAAGTGATTAGAAGAAAGAAGCCATAATAATTCATTGTACTACCATATGTATAATTCAATAATTTTTTTCTTTTTTGCCTGTAAAAGTCTTTGGGATTATTCATCCATATTGCTGTTTTTTCACAACCAACTTCTATACCACATTCTTTTTATTCTTTCTTAATTGTTTATCATGTCATTTTATTTGCTTTATTGTTGGGATTTAGAGCAATGCAGACTTCAGATGCTTTAAATACACATTTCAAATAAGATCAAACATTTTTAAGGTCAACTTGAAAAAAACCCCACATATCAGGTCCATTCATTCCTTCATTGTTTTCTTTCACTTTTTTTCTGAAGGCTCTGCGGGTGTCTATGGAGGAGCAGAGACAACGACAGGAGGATGAAGCTCGCAGAGCTGCTGTTGCATCAGCTGCTGAAGCTGGCATTTCCTCTCCTGCTGCAGATGGTTAGAGAAATGTCCACCAACTTGATTTACTATCATAGCTGTCCATTTCTGCCTAGTCTCTGTCAGTATGATGGGCAGAATATGAGTGTGTTCATGTGGCTAATTTTCCTTCCATTGCAGAGTCTGAAGCTGCCCTGTTGAAGATGTCCGTTCCACATACAGACTTGTCCACACCTGCTCTGCCAGACTTCAGCCGCATGACTGAGGATGAACAGATTGCCTATGCTCTGCAGATGTCCATGCAGGGAGCAGGAGCAGGTTAAATATGGATTTTGAATTTACTGAATTCAGGATACATCACAACATTATAAGATGCATAATTTATTTTTTTATTTATAGCAGGGCCTTCAGACCTTTTGTATATATTCCTCTTTCACCACATTGATTTTAAGTCTAAAAAACTAGTTTCTTCAAGAGATTAAGCTGTTGTCACATTAATCCACTTATAGGAGCCTTCTTATATACATCATTTTCATTAACACACTTATTTACTTTTCTTGCTGGTGCTATACTACATTAAAGTCATGGTAGAGAAAGTAGACAATCAAGTTTGTGTTTTCAACTTAGAAGTGTTCTGCATGTGTCTTTGCATTGTTTGTTTCTTGAATCTAAAATAAGTCTTGAACAAATGAAGACACTCCAGGGCCCGGTTTTTCAAAAGTAATCCACTAGGATTTTGGATAACGGATTGGATCAAATCTTGAAAATGGGTTTTTCAAAAGAAGAAACGGATTACATAATCGGATTAGATCATGTAATCCAATCTTGGTTTTGATCCGGATCAAACCTTCATTTAGGGTTTTTCAGAACTTTTTTGTAGGATTTGGATCACTTTGATCCAGAAAATCTGGATTAAACTGATCCCATCAGAAGGGTGGATTCAGCGTGGATTCCATGCCCAAAATGTTATGAAAACAAGCAACAGTAGGGACAACCCATAGCATATTACTCTGGCATTATAGGAGCAGGAACAACCTCCTGTTTACAAATTTTTAATTGCTGCTTTTTTGATTCATCAAATTTGTGAATGAATGATAACGCCACAGAGAGTGCCCAGGCAGCTTCGCCACAAGAGGTGAGGCTGAGTAAGGCTGGGTAAGTCATGTACTGTTGGTCTTGAAGGGAGGTGAACAATGTACTGTATGATAAGAATAATTTCTCTAATAAAGCGATCACAAGGCGTGAGCATATGCAATTAGAAGATGGTCACAGATGGATCAGAACACTATGTCCAAAACAAAAAGAGAAACATGATGCTGGGGAAAAAGTGTGAAAGAGATTGACATAGGAGGAGACAGGAGACTTAAATAGGATGGATGCCTTCCAGCCCAGTTTCACAGTCCTAACATCTCTGCATTCATTTATCAATATAGTATTTGATTCTTTTCCATAATGAATAGCTTCTGTACTTCCCTTTAAACTTTACAATATAATACACTATAGTGCACAATAAGGTTTCTGAGCCAGTCTTAGGATCCAGAATGGAGGGTGAGCACACGTCAGCCTCACAAAACTGCTTGATGTTCAAGTCACTATCAGGCCTGACACTGAGACAGTCCCGAAGTCTGGTTGCTCTGCTACAGCAGCCAGATGCCTCAAATAACCAGAAGTGTTTCTCGGTGCCTCAGTCCTGCCCTGGGTCCTTGGCAGGGCCTCCGTCTAGGTAGATCTTGAGGGCTTTCTCCTTGCGTGGCGAGTAGCTGACACGGTGTCCAGTCTTGAGCAGACGACTGCTCTCCTTCTTCATCAGCTCATTGCGCTCATCCTCCGACAGCTCTACAAGTTCCTCTGTGTTGTCCCTGCAATACAGGGAGTGGGGGTGGGGGGGCACGATGGCAACACTTGTCAGTACATGATTATTGCTCTGAAAATGCACATCATTTGATGTTCAATTATTAACCTGTGGATCCCTGATGACAGGTGTCAGAATGAGTAACATTACACTGACCGGCCACTTTATTAGGTACACCTGTACAAATGTATGCAATTCAGTACAACACTTCCACCTTAACATCTGTTTATGAAGCTCAAAATGTTTCAGTTTTTGGTGAAATTGTCATAAATGAATAAATTCTATTTTTATTATTGAGGTCATAGTAGAAGGTGGTGCTGTCATTACATAACTTTGACACTTGCATTTAAAAATAATGTGTATTATTTTGGGTTAACCATGTTTGTAATTAATTTATAAGGGAATCATATTTCTCTAATCTGAGATAATATAGACCATTTGAAGTTTTATATTGGCATATGCCTAATGAACACAATAAATACTTGGAGATATTCATAGTCCGGCAATAATGATGAGATTGACTGCTTGAGCATAGTCCTGTGTGTCTGTCAAATGATTTGCGAGGACAAAAACCTAAACCTGTGATAGGTGTGGCTTGTGTTCAATTGAGGCACAGACCAAATCAAATTGCGGTGGAAGAATCTTAAGGCCAGGGCAACAAAGGACCATGCTGAAGCCAAAAACCCACAAACAGGCAACAAGCCATTTAAGAGGGGGGATTACACAGATGTGGTCCTCGACATCATTGGAGGTGAGAAGTCGCAAGCTCTCCATGGTATTCAAGGTGTTGTAGGGGATGGCGAGCCTTGGATTGAGGAGGAGGAGGTGAATCTGCCAGTTCCTCCTGAGGCTGATCCAGAGAGCGTATTTATATTGAATCTCAGCTCTGTTCCTGAGGAAGAAGCTGGATCCTCATTGGTTGAGCCAGTGGTAGTTGCCACAGGATCTCAGAGCAAAGGCTTGAAGCGCCCTTCATCAAACAAAGATGATGATTACAAGGCACTTCTGCAAAAAGAGACTGAAAGGGCAGAAGCACAGCTTCATCTGGCAGAGGAACAACTGACTCTGACCAAACTGCAGCAAACCAAGGCCAGACTTGAGATCCGCCTCCTAAAGGCTACGCTCAGACAAGCTGGTCTCTCCACATCAGATGAGGAAGTCTGAAATTAGTGTGGAGTATTTGACATTAGGTCACTTTTCTTAATTCAATACATCTATATTTGAAACTTGTTATAAATATCCTCGATGTACAGTGTTTGTGTTGTAGGTCTCAGATGAGCGGACTGCTGGAAGAGGATGGGGTGGGGTTTTTCTTGTGTTTAGTTTCTTTTAAATGTGTGTGTTTTCATTTCAAATAATAATAAACGTATATTGACCCCACACTGGCTATTCTACTTGTTGCTCTTTACATATCTATAGTTCTACATTGTGATTTCCTATCCTGTTTGAGCACTGGTTATCCAGATTTGGTGATCCTGAAAAGTTCCTATCCGGATCAGATTGATCCAATCCGATGTTGCTTTGAAAAACTGGCTCAAGAAGTAAGCTGGATTACGTGATCACGGATCGCAAAAAAAGGATTACTGAATCCGGATCAATTTTATCCGGATTAAACCTTTTGAAAAACCGGGCCCAGAATATAGAGTATATATCCCTTTTATTAGATATGGCTGATTATAGTAATGTGAATATAAAACTGCTTTTTGAAGATGCTGGAATTGATCTCATTGGGGTATTTGTATTGACACTAATACAATTCATACAATTTATTCTGCCAGGTGGACACTTTATTGCCTCAAAAACACATATTCATCTTGTGATTAACCATTAAACAGCTCACATGAACAGTCTTTGCTAGTCTGCATTCCATATTTGCAGTGTATTTGATGTGCACACAATGCAGCATGAAATTGCAAGCTTTTTGCTTTTTGGACAGCGACATATCCAAGGTTAAAAATGACCACTTTTCTTTCTTTCTTTTTTGCTCAGTCAACATTTTGTTCCATTTTTCCTGCAGAGTTTGGTGCTGAGGACATGGACACTGGGGCTGACATGGATTCTAGTGAGGCGAAGGTAAGCACAAGCCTTTACTACTTCACATTTGTCATTTTCACCAGATTGAAATGTGCTTGGTAAAGATAATGATGTTTTTATCCATGTCTAGGATGAAGAGGACTATGATGTTATGCAAGATCCAGACTTCCTTCAGAGTGTCCTGGAAAACCTTCCTGGAGTCGACCCCAACAATGAGGCCATTCGTAATGCCATGGGCTCTCTGGCTTCCCAGACGGGGCCTAAACCTGATACCAAGAAAGATGAGGAGAAAAAGAAATAAATGTTCAGAGAGGAACTGAAGATATGATAATTACAAGAGCTGACAATTGCACTGCATGTTGTTCACAGTAACATATTTACTCTCCTACCGTAAGCATTTTGTTCACCTTTTTTAATGTAGCTGTATAAACTGTAAACAGCCTTTGCCTTTTCTGATTTTAGGGCCTATTCTGATTTCCACATGCTTACTTTTGAATCCTTTGTAATATAATGACTCAGTAAGATGGGCAGATTTCCTCAATAAATTTACAGAATCCAGATGGTAATTCATCTGATGCTTGACCTGATGCCTTACAGCTGTGATAGCTGTAACAGTTTAATCTTTACAGTATTAACAGTGGTTGACAAAAAATTAATGCTTTCACCTAGTTTACCTAGTTAAAACGGTTATTTTCAATGCCCTGTATTGAACAGCCGTAACATGAGACACAGTAAACCTATTACATTCAGTAAAATTTGGAAGATAATAATTGGACCAAACTAGTACATTTTATAACTTTCTCATGATGAGACTAGGAAATGGAAACTATATATTCATGCAATTTAAAAGCAGGTGGATGTGGTTTGACAGTAGCAATAGAATAACAATACAAAAAAACTCTTAAGAGTTTGACAGCAGGAAAGTGCTTATAATCTTTACAATCTGGCCAGATTTACAATAAAAACAAGTAGTAAAACCTTCCCTGGTAGGCTAGTCCTTCTAGTCGCAGTAAATACACACAAGAAAGTACATCTTGTATTCAAAATTATTTATTTGCTGTATTTTCCGAAATATTGTTTGAAAAGGTAACATTCTCGTATGATTTCGTGGGACGCCTATAGTTGATCAACACTGAACGGTAAATGTAAACACGTGGGAAGACCCTAAAAGGTCACTGTCGCGGGATTTGGTGACGGCACACGTAGGCGACCGCGAGGGAAGTCCGGAACCAACTTCGCTAATTAGCAGGTAACTTAACTGAAATTAAATGCAAGCGTGAGGTAATGTTAATTCAGTTACAAAAAACATAACTCGCATTACACATAATATATTAGGTCCACACTGGCCGACTGTTACACTAGTCTAATTATACTGTTGACTACTTCAGGATACTTGGGCGGTTGATGTTAGCCAGAGCAGCTAGCACAAATGCTAAAGTTTAGCTAGCCGTTAGCAGAAGCACCCACTTGTTGCAACATGACAGTTAAGTTGGTCATACTGAAAACACGTTTGTCAGACTTTTGTTGTATCTTGAGACCTGTTTGTTTTTATTCAGCTTCATCAAATATGAAGCAGAATAAGAACACCATGTAACGCATTTGACCAAACACGCCCGAGCCTCTTATGATACAAGCTGTTATCGATTCGGTCACATTTAAATGTTAACTGGCTTTTCTAGCTCAGCTCTGCAAATGTGTCGTGATTAGGTTAAAAATCACATTGTATTATCTATTATGTCTCTGTTGGATCGACAGGTTTTGAGACTTGTGCTGGCAATGGGAGACATGAAGACCCCAGACTTTGACGATTTGTTGGCTGCATTTGACATTCCTGACATTGATGCAAAAGAGGCCATCCAGTCAAGTCCAGAGGATGAACGAGATGAAGGGGGAACAAATGCAAATGAGAGAGAGAGGGGATCTCCGTCATGCTTTCCATGCCCCCCCATCTCCCAAAGTGACCCCCCTGTGGTCAGTGTTATTGTGAAAAACACTGTGCGATCTGAGTCTTTTGAAGAGAAGTATGTCCAGGATAAAACAGACAGTCCTTCAAGTAATGGCATAACCCCCCAGGTTCAGGTCAAGTTGGGTGACCTCACCTCACAGCTTGGTCCTGAACTGCCAGCTAATGCTGCTGTAGTGCCACAAGTTGCCAGTGGCTTTGAGGGATCTGTCCCCAGAGATCAGGAAGCATCCAACAGAGAGCCATGGTCTCGGAGTTCACCATTTAAGTCCATGCTAAATGATAATGAAAGAGATAAAGGAGCTGATGTTGGTTCAATCCAGCAAACGACTGATGTCATGAACAGTTTGAAGCCCCTTCTCTTTCCACAGCTGCCGACCAGTGCCGGTCCCATCTCCTCAACTCCTGCCTCCCCTCAATCTGTCAGCCCTTACATTTCTCCTCATTCCCCTCAGAAGGAAGAAGGTTGTCTCCTCAGTAATCTGTCCCCTCGCCCTTTACTACAAAATGGGACTATTATGACTGGAATTAAGCATGTTATGAACTCAGATGAAGAGGACTCAGAACCAGATATAGGAAGTCCCCTGGTAATTCAGGAGAGCCCAGAATCTTTAATGCCCCCCACTCCCAAATTTAAACGCAGAACAAAACTAGAGTCTGAGGTGCTTGGGTCTTCTGAAGCCACTTCACATCTTCCTCATCTCTCTTCTCTGGAATCTACAAAACCTAAACCACTTCATGAGGAGAAAGAGCAACATACTCCCTCCATTTCTCCCAGTTCTACAGCTCCTCAGCTACAGAGCTCTGAGAACTGCCTCCTCTCTGCCAGCACAGGCTCTTCATCTGTCCAAAGAGAGAAATACCCAGAGCATGTGATTGATGAGAGGGACTCACCTGAGAGCCCACCGCCCAGTGAGACAGGTCTTGTGGTCCCCAATAGAAGCAGCAGCCCTGATTTGACCCCAATCTCAGGTCTATCAATCAACCATGAAGACTTCCATCACCAAAAGGAGTTCATTGGAAGTGAGAATAGCAAAGAGGACAAGCCAGATGATACACAGGAGCAGTGTGAAAAGATGGCTGGAGATGGGGAAGATGTAAACAAGGAGAATAGCAGTGCTGGCATGTTATTTGAGGATACTGTGTCTGCTAGTGCAAGAGAAACTGTTTCATCTCCATTGCGCCCTCTCAAAGTTAAAATCAAAATGCCTACAGGCAGCATTACAAGGACCGTGACTGGGGTGGCATCTAAAAGAAGTGCAAGAGCCACTACCAGGGCTGTGGATAGTTTAAAACCATCACCAGAACATCATAATATAAAATCCAAGAGGGAGTTATCACAGCAGTCTCAGTCGCCCATAGTAGCAATGCCCCAGGATGCTTGTGCTGCAACAGTAGATGGTGCCAACTCAGTTAAAGAGAAAGCTGCAGTGGACACTAAACCTAAAGTTTCCCCCACATGTGTTAGCATCACAAAAACAGCAACAATGCCCTCAGTCTCTGTCTCCACTCCCAGAGTCAGCCCAGGTGGGGTTAGTCTGCGCAGCCTGGGTCAGAAAACTCTGAACAGTGGGATAATACTTCCTGTTCCTTCACCGCTACTCAATCCTCAAAGTAGTGGCAAACCAGCATCCATAGTCAACAGCACTGGGGCAATCATATCAAAGAGTCAGACCAACCTGGTAGAATCTTTCAACAAAATCCTCAACAGCAAGAACCTACTGCCCATTTACAAACCAAATC